CAGTATGTTTGCTTACAGTGTGTGTGTGTGTGTGTGTGTGTGTGTGTGTATAGGTACACACAGGTACCTTCAGTATGGTCGCCAGGTGCAGTATCTGGTGGTCCAGGGTTCTCAGCTCCTTCTCAGAGCAGCTCTGGTTCTGTAACATCTTCTCCAGCTCTGCGATCAGGGCTCCCAGCTTGATGGCCTGGGCCCTGCGCTGGGCACCGCTCACCCCCGGCCTCCCCGGGGTCGGAGCCGCGGTCGTGGGTGAGGAAGGGGTTACGATGGGGCGCTGAGCAGAGGGTGAGGCAGCAGCAGAATGTGACTGACATTCTGGAGAGTCCTGGAACAAACGTGGGGGAAGTTTAAAACAAGCAAATAAAGGAGAGATGCCAAGCTGCTTCTCCTGGATCCACATTCTGTGTGGGTGTTGAATGTTGTACAGATTGTAAATGCAAATTGTGATTTTGAGTATATAAATCAAATCTGACTTGAACTTAAGAGATAAAATTGGGTGAAAAAGATGGATTGAGACAATAACTGAAGCGAGAAGCAGAGAGAAAACAAGAAATGCTGAAGAGATAAGGTCGACCAAACTCAGAAAATTGTCCCTCTAGTTGTAAACAAACATTCTCATCATCAATTACAATCCCAATGAAGACAGTAGATACATTTTAAATTGTGCCAGATACAAAATCCACTAAAATCTGAAGCTACACTTAGATTGTTAGATATTGTTAGACCAGAAAATGTTGGTATCTTATTGTTATTAGGCATTAAATAACAGTGAACGCAGGCCACCAAAACACTTCAAAACTTGCATGTAAATAACTAAAAACTAAGAATAAAAACTCAAAGCAAGGACAGGAGGAGTAGTTAGGGCTGAGCTGTGCCGACTCTGGGAGTGAATATGATGAAACTGCAGATTTTCTGGAGAGCTGAGAGCTGTGAACTCACTGTACACACATTAAAGTGTCTCTGACATTAGTTAGACATCTCTCTAACTATTCTCATTTGCACCAGGATTTCAATGCAGTGTTGAATTTAACCAAATGTGTCGGGATTCAAGTTGTTTTTTCACCTGAACACCGACAGTGTCCGGTCCCAGGGCTCCACTGTGTGTCTCAGGTTCTGGTTCTCCAGCTGTGTTCTTTCTGAGGATGTCAGGAGTGCTGGACCTGTATTACACAAATATCATCTTTATTTGTTTGCAGTATTATTATTAGTATTATTAATATTATTACAGCATTTAGCATGGTGATACATAGGCTGAAACTCAATATAAAGCTCTGTAAAGCTGAGGAAAGCTTCAGATTCAGCTAATAATTCTCCGTTGGTTGGTCATTTATTATGAATACATCAATTACAGCTGCTTTAAAGAAATACAATAAGTTGAATTATTAAATGCATGAAGGTGAAGCTCTAGACAAACCACCTGAACAGAGAGGTTTGTACCAACCTACAGGGACATTATGGACAAACTGTCTGCAGTCGTGTTTATCATTATTGTTATTGTCTCATGGTTTTTACAGTTTTTGTCTACCCACTATATTTCCTGTTGCTGCCAATCCAATGGAAGCCATATATTTTGACAGGACATTTGTTTCAAGGTCAAAGTAATATAATAATACAGTAAACACTGTTTACTCTACTAGTTCATGTCAAAATGGCTGCTGTGAAAAAGGTCTATTAAAAGGAATTAAACATGATTTGCTCTTGAGTTCATGCTCACATCTGTAGAGCCAGCAGGGAACTCATTTTACTCTCCGCTGGTGTGGAGCGAGTATCTAACACACTTCCCCACTCCTCCTCCTCCTCCTCCTCCTCCTCCTCCTCTCCATCCTTCTTGTCCATCCTCTTCCTCCTCTCCCTCTCCTCTGCAGAGACCTCCAGGGATCCTTCCTCCCCGAGGGACAGCTGAGTCTGGCTTCCTCCCAGACTGGTGCCTTGACTGTGGCTGGAGGGGTAGCTGTGCGTACGCTTGAGACTGTGGAGCATGAAAATTATCAGTGAAACATAAAATACACACAAATCTCTGCTGACAATGTTTTAACCCATTAATGTCCGCAGAAGAATTGTATAATTTCCTTTCCAGCATTTAAAGTTCTAGCTGAGCTGACACAAATCCACATATACTTTATCTAATTGTTCGTCACTAGTTTTTTTTCTCCATAATGTTTGATTATTTAGATTAAAAAATGAATCATTTTTGTTATTTTTAAAAAGAAAATCTAATTAGTCTACCAATTTAGGCAAATGGAAAATGACAAATTAAAAATTTACATTTTCTCATTTGCTGCCACTTGTCCTGACAGTTTCTACCTCTAACAGTAACTAAATCTGTGGGGCTTTTCCTTAGCGTACTAAACACAGCCATTAGTTATTAATGGGTTCATTCAAATATAGCATTGATGTATGTCTGAGTCTTTGCTGTACTGTAGTTCAGTTATCAGAGAGATCTCTTAATTGGACCCACAGAGATATTGATCTGTAAGATTGTAAAGAGGTCCCAAACATGGAGGTCGAGAACCTGCATGGGCTCCAGAGATTAAGCCAAGCAGTCAAAAGATGATTAAAGGAACAAGAAAGAAATACACAATGATGTTAAATTATATTAAAAATTGTTATTTGCAACTTTCCTTGAATCTTTCTTGTGAGATACTGGATACTTTCACCTGTTCAGGCTCTAAAAATCCTTTCGAACTCCACATTAAAGCCATAATCTGTGATCCGGGGTAATAAGACATACGTGGCTTCATTTTATGGGTAATAAGCCAAAAAGCTTTGTAAGTACAACTGTTTATTAATAGATATTGTCTCTGTAGGCACTGTATAGTTACATACTTGAGGTTGTAGGGGCTTTGAGGGCTGTGGTTTGGGGCGATGCCGGTGTGTGAGGGGTTGGACAGGTAGCTGAGCAGAGACACGCCTCCTCTGTTGTGTCGACTTTTAGACACCAGAGACGGGAGGGAACCCTCCTGATCTTGCAGCTCACGCACCATCGACTGCAGGAGAGGAGGGAGAAGACACACACATCAACTTCAATGTCAGACTCTGTAGACTGAGTCATATTAAATTATACTTTTACAGTTAAATGCTCGGTGAGGCATTCAGGGTTATCATTTGATGAAATAATTTATACACACTATATTACCACTTTATTATGTACTTCTCTACAGTCTAATACAACAGCCCTGCTACAGAAGGGCTGTTGTATTAGAGCTACAGAATTTGTGAAATAACAGACTACAGCAGAAAAGCCATAATTTTACATAAAAAAATAAACTGTAGCAACTTTTAAAGTGTTTAATTTAAAGGCTCTTTCCTCACTTTTCTTTGTTCCTCGGTTGTTAAACATTTACATACTAGTAAATGTTCTGAATACTGTCTTTGTTTTGTGTGTTTGTGCTTCAACAATACTTTCTACTACTACTACTATCTTGTGGCCAATAAAGCTCTAGGAATTTGAAGAGTGTAAGGGGACAGATAAATGTACCAGCATGGTGCATTGTAGAGTCTCCAAATTAAAAGCCCCACAACAAAATCTTTCCATTTTAGGGTTTAGACTTGGTTTAATCTTAATGCTCTGTAGGTTAAAGGTTGTGGTTATACATGTTGTTGTTATGGCTGCTCGTGTGCGCCCTGTATACTCACTATGAAGTACTTCTCGGTGAAGGACGGGGTGCTTGGAGCCGTCCAGCTGTAAACTGAACTCTTTCTGCTGGTCACCGACTGCCTGCTGACAGACAGCGGCCTCATCTTCTCAGTGCTGTCAAATGGACTGCAGGTGCAAACACACACAAACATTTAGACTCAGAATATACACACACACACACATACATATAAATGTACTGAATATTAAAGCGGTCCAACACATTTTCCATACATTTCATCCCTTTGACAATAAACCAGCAAATATTACTGATCTTTAATGTTTGCAGCTTGTCTCAGTTTTGATGCTTTTTCCAGACGGTCTTTTCCTGTATCTTTCCTCACTTTGTAGAAATTCTGACAGAATTGTGTGTGCATACTACATATGTGACAAAATCCGAAACTTTTTAGTCACTGACTGTAAATTCATAACCTTGTGAGCCAGCTGGCCTCATGAGATCACAAAAGCGCACGAGAATCCATCCTTCCAGGCTTCAATTTATGTGTTTCTGGCCAAACTACAGTGGTATCAGACCCAATGAGGGTCCTTTGGGGAAAGGTTCTAGGTGTGACAACAAAGGTTTGTAAATTTTAAACATTTTTTGCTTTCATTGATCACATCAGTGTAATGGCCCCTGAGCTCACTAAATCTATTTGTAGATTCATTTTATTTACACAGAGTAATTATAGCGGTTAAATTGGCATTTTGATCTTTTGGGAGCCTTGACTACACCTTCATGAGAGGCTGTCTGCTCTTCATCAGCAACATCCTGTTTTATATTCATCGGTTGCAGACATTCACACCTGAGGTCTTTACAGTGCAGCCGCAGACTTTTATTTGTGTCCACTTACATTTTTATAAAGTCAGCCAGCAAATTTCCATCTTCTACTGCTGCCCACAGCTATATTTATCTACTTCTCCATGTAGGTTATAACAGTTTATACGTAGCAGAAACATTGATGGAAACCACTGAAATGTGATTCATTTAGAGGCTCAACAGAGAATTGTGTGTGTGTGTGTGTGTGTGTGTGTGTAAGAAAGACTGTTGTGTTGTCTACGTGTGGTGCCTTGGTATTCTATGGGTAGTCTGGGTAGAATTTTAATAATGTCACCACCTGCTGTAGATTACACTATTCACAGACGCAGACTTTCTTTTTCTCTGTTTGAGAGAGAGAGTGTGTGTGTGTGTGTGTGTGTGTGTGATC